TATAGAGACTGGACTGTACACAGTACTCCCCCAGTCTGATATAGAGACTGGACTGTACACAGTGCTCCCACTGAGATATAAAGATCGGAGTGTAAACAGTTGATATAGAGACCGTATTGTACACAGTGCTCCCAGTCAGATATAGCGTCAGGACTAAAGACAATACTCCTGATGTGCTCTCACCAAGGTCCTGTACAATTGCAGGAAGACATCCCCACTCCTATCCTTGAGCCTCTTACTAAGGGTGGCATGGTGGCACAGTGCTTAGCACTGCTGCCTCACAGGGCCAGGGACCCGGGTTCAATCCCACCCTTGGGTGACTGTCTGTGTGGAGTTTGCACATTCTCCCCCGTGTCTGCGTGGGTTTCCTTCGGGTGCTCTGGTTTCCTCTTGCAGTCCAAAGATGTGCAGGTTAGGTGGATTGGCCATGCTAAATTGCCCATAGTATTCAGGGAGGCATAGATTAGGGGGATGGGTCTGGGTGGGATTCTCTGAGGCTCAGTGCAGACTTGTTGGGCCAAAGGGCCTGTTTCCACACTGTAGGGATTCGATTCTATTCTATGAAAGACTGACATCCCATTTGCCTTTCTCACTGCCTGCTGAACTTGCAATGCATACTCTCAGCAATTGGGATACATGGCCACCCTCGGTCTAGTTAGCCATTCAGATAATAATCTTCCTTCCTGTTTTTGTTAAGTTATTCCAAGTTCTTCTTTCTTTTGTTTGTATTTTAACGATAGTGTTTGAAGATGGCGAAATTTGATTTCAATAATTAAAAAACGCAGGAATTAAGAGTCGAATACTGACCATCAATCTGTTGTCGATTTTTGGAAGTCGTGTTTGTAATATAAAAGTGGATAACCTCACATTGATCCCCATTATGATGCATCTGCCATGCATTTGCCCACTCGCTCAACTTGTCCAAACCACACCGAGGGACTTCTGCATTCCCCTCACAGCTTGTTCTCTAAAACAACTTACTATCATCTGAATCCAGTGACACCCTCGCCAAAAGCGTGTTCCCTTACCTTGTTGCACTGGCTGAACAAAGTGCTTCCCCATCACCTTCTCATGAGGTTAATTAGGGACAGGCTACAGACGTTGTTAAGAAAATTCCCAGCCGAGGCAAACAGAGACAATAAGGACCGTAGACACTGGGAATACCTGTAGAGCCACTGTCTCATATTGTGCAAACCAGTTGTGTGACCACCAGCTCGCATGTGTGTGCTGTGAGATGTAAGGCCGGATGTGGTGTCCCAGCCTTACAGATTAATAAAAAACATAAACGCAATTATTGTGAAATCTCACCTCTAAAGGCTCAATTCTCAGCAGCAATCAGTTGAAGGAATCTGCCCACATCCTGTCCAACTACAGTCGATGGGAAGACACAGTGCACAGCGTAAAAAGCTGTAGTGAGAAGACAAACAGAGGCAGATAACCACCCGAGCCAGACAAAATGAGACTTGAAGCCGTCTTAAGTACTTTCACTGCCCTGCTCGTCTTGTTGGACTGGGATCCTCAAGGTAGGAATGCAGTGAGAGAATTCTAGCTGTACTCTGTTGGGTGGATAATGCCCAGGCTCGATTTCTGTGCTGACAGAGGATCAACTCCCATCAGGGTCACTGGCGGATTTTTAATGCAATTGATTTAAATTCTAACTTGGTCTCAGAACATAAGAAACAGGAGCAGGAGTAAGCCATCTGGCCCCTTGAGCCTGCTCTGTCATTCAATAAGATCAGAACAGATCTTTCTCATGGACTGAGCTCCATTTACCTGCCTGCTCACTGTAACCCTAAGTCCCTTTACTGTTCAAAAATCTATCTATCTTTGCCTTGAAACTGTCAACGGAACAGCCTCACCTGCTTCACTGGGCAGAGAATTCCACAGATTCATAACCCTTTGGGTGAAGAAATTCCTCCTCAGCTCGGTCCTAAATCTGCTCTCCCCTTATTTTGAGGCTGTACCCCTTAGTTCTAGTTTCACCCGCCATTGGAAGCAACCTCCCTGCTCCCATCTTATCTATTCCCTTTGTAATTTTATATGTTTCTGTAAGATAAACCCCCGCAATTTTCTAAATTCCAATGAGTACAGTCCTAGTGTGCTCAATTTCTCCTGTGTCATCAAATCCTTGTGCTGACCCTTTGGCTTCTTGGTCATGCACAGGACGTTTTGTGTCGCTGGCTGGGTGATGTTTATATCCAATCCCAAATTGTCTGCGTTCTGAAACCCATTGCATGTTGCAACAGAAGCTTCAACACATGTACCAACAGGTTCAAGAACAGCTTCTTCCCTGCTGATATTAGACTGCTGAATGGACCTCTCTAACTTCAAATTATGTTGATCTACCTCTGTCTACCTCCTGTCTACCTCCTTTAACCTCGGTCTGTCTATGATCTGAATGTCCTTGTACGCTCGGAACTGCTTGTACTGCTCGCAAAACAAAATTTTTCACTGTACTCAGGTGCATGTGGCAGCAATAAAACAAATCAAGTCAAATGTTGCTTTTAGTCTGAATTTTAGAAATGCCATTAGCCTTTACTCTTCTATTTGAGGGGTTTGCAGGTTCAAATCCTACCATGGCAAATATTTAACTGAATTGAAAACCTGGAATTTTAGCCTAATTACAATGATGAAGATGTTGGTTAGAATCATAAAGATGTACAGCACAGAAACAGACCCTTTAGTCCAACTCGTCCACGATGAACTGATATCCTAAATTAATCTAGTCCCATTTGCCAGCATTTGGCCCAGATCCCTGTAAACCCATCCCATTCATGTACTCTTCCAGATGCCTTTTAAATGTTGTAATTGTACCAGCCTCCGGCACTTCCTCTGGCAGCTCATTCCATACATGAGCCACCCTCTGCGTGAAAAAGTTGCCCCTTAGGTCCCTTTCAAATCGTTGTCCTCTCACTTTAAACCTACTCAGATTTTCAATAAGGCCCCACATAGCATGCAAAATTAGAGGGCACAGGATCAGGGGTAGTGTAAAGAAATGGATAGAGAACTGGTTGGTAGATAGGAAAATAGCAGGAGAATTAAACAGAGATAGTAAGAACTGCCGATGCTGGAGTCTGAGATAACACCCATTGTGGAACTGGAGGAACATAGCAGGCCAGGCAGCATCAGAGAAGCAAGAAAGCTGACGTTTCAGGTCAGGACCCTTCTTCAGAAAGGGTCTGAAGAAGGGTCCCGACCTGAAACATCAGCTTTCCTGCTCCTAGTAGGATTAAACAGTTCTTTTTCTAAGTGGCAGACAATGACTAGAGGGGTCCAGATGAAGGTTTAGAGGGATGTGGGCCAAATGCTGGCAAAATGGGACTAGATCAGATTCTGAAGAAGGGTCTAGGCCCGAAACACCAGCCTTCCTGCTCCTCTGATGCTGCTTGGCCTGCTGTGTTCATCCAGCTCTACACTTTGTTATCTTAGGTCAGATTAGGATATCTGGTCAGCATGGACGAGTTGGACTGAAGGGTCTGTTTCCATGCTGTATGACTCCATGACTCTAATGCTTCTTTACTTGAGGATGCTCCATCTCTGAGTATATTACAGCTGAGACAGACAGATCTTTGTCTTTGGGATCTGGGGGTTATGGGGAGAGCAGTACAGGAGCTGAGACTTCATGTTACGGCTTACAAGACATTGGTGAGGCCGCATGTGCAGTACTGTGTACAATTCTGGTTGCTCCGTTATAGTAAGGCTGTTATTAAACTGGAAAAGGTGCAAAAAATATTTTACAAGGCTGTTACTGAGACTGGAGGGTTTGAAATGCTGAATAGGTTGGGGCTTTTCTCCCTGGTGCGTTGGAGGCTGACGGGTGACCTTATAGAGGTTTATAAAATCATGAGGGGCATGGATAGGGTGAATAGTCAAGGTCTTTTCCCCAGGGAGGGGGAGTCCAAAACTAGAGGGCATAGGTTTAAGGTGAGATGGGAAAGACTTAAAAGGGCCCTGAACAGGATTAGGAGGGGGAGGGAGAGTATTAGGAGGGGATGGAGGGAGGAGGGGGGGGGGGGGATGTGGGGGGGGGGGGGGGGGGGGAGGAGATGGGGGGGGTAAGTGGTATGTGTATGAAACGAGCTGCCAGAGGAAATGGTGGAGGCTGGTACAATGACAACATTTGGACAGCTACATGAATAGGAAGGGTTTAGAGGGATATGGGCCAAATGCAGGCAAATGGGACGAGATTAATTTAGGATGTCTGGTCACAATGGACGGGTTGGACCAAAGGGTCTATTTCCGTGCAGTATGACTTTATGACTCTAATCCAGCTGGGCTTTTTTGGCTGGTTTGCAATGTGGGCTGACAGCAACAGCGTGGGTTCAATTCTCGCAACAGCTGAGGTTACCATGAAGGCCTGAGGCCTGGTGACTGTCAAGTTAGACTAACTACCAGTCGTCTCTCTTGTGAGAGAGTGGGACGACAGTGACTTTATTTCAGCATCGTACCAATGTCTTTAAATGATTAGCAATTGCTAGGGTCTTGAAGCTGTGTTTGGAAGCTGCAGTACATCAATCCCTGCTACTCTCTCTCTCTCGCTCAGAGTTTTCTCTTGATGTTTTTTTCCTCCTGGACTGGAGAACTGCCTGTGAGACAATCTATTTTACTGATTTTGCCTTTGCCAAGGGTGGGTTTATGTGATGTTACTATATTGAAACAGTTACTGTTTAGTAGTTAAATAATCTATTATTCTGTTCAGTTTTCCAACAGAATTAAGTTATTCCAATTTCCTTTCTCTTTTGTTGCAGTTTAACTATTGTGTAAGAATATCATCTGTTTTGCTTTAAGAATTGCATCTGAATGCAACACCTTAAATTTGGGTCTAGACTATCTTCTGAAAATATTTTGAGGGGGTTTGGTCTGGTCCATAACAGTCGTGAAGATATGTAAGTCCCTACTCAAACGGGTTTTCCAGGAACAGGAACCTTCTAGAAGACAAAAAAAAAAACTTGGGATCCCTACCGATCGAGAACTGGAATGTTGGATGGGGCTAGCTATCTCTCTATTGGCTCACACGCTCACAATGTGCCCAAAGATTCTCTTCCAGCACCACATGTTTCACAATCTGGAGAGACTGAGCACACTGGGACAATACTCATTGGAATTTAGAAGAATGAGGGGCTGTTTCTCATAGAAATATATAAAATATTGAAGAGAATAGATCAGATGGAAATAGGGAGGTTGTTTCCATTGGCGGGTGAAACCAGAACTTGGGGGAGTTGGGGGGAAAGTATAGCCTCAACATGTGCAGTAGATTTAGGACTGAGTCGAGGAGGAACTTCTTCATCCAAAGGGTTGTGAATCTGTGGAATTCCCTGCCCAGTGAAGCAGTTGAGGCTATCTCATTAAATGTTGATAGATAGATTTTTGAACAGGAAAGGAATTGAGGGTTATGGTGAGCAGGTGGTTAAGGGGAGCCAAGTCCACAAGAAAGATCAGTCGTGATCTTATTGAATGACAGAGCAGACTCGAGGCAGCCTACTCCTGCTCCCATCTCTCATGTTCTTCTGTTTGTACGTTTCAGGCGCCCATGCTGAAATCCTGATTTTCCAATCTCCCTCAATTCTCACCGTAAAAGAAGGAGCCGATGCAACTCTAAACTGTAGCTTTGACACCTCACTGGAGATTTCCGAAGCTGCCGTCGACTGGAAAAAAACGAATGACACTGTCTTCTCCTGTGTTGTGAAGAAACTCCATCATATTGAAAACTGTAAAAACCACACGAATGGTATCTCCATCAATTGGAACTCTGGGTTCTTCACTTTGCACATCAACGGTACCCAGCTGTCAGACAATGGGACATATTACTGTCATCTTCAGATTGAGCGACCCATCCCAATTAAGAGAGGACAGGGGAACGGAACAGTTTTGATTGTTGAGGCATCAGGTATTCCGAGGATTTTGAAGGAAGGGAGGGTGGTCATTGAGGAGGCGCAGGCCGCAATCTTTCAGTTGTTCCTTGGATTCGCCAGACTGAAAGATTGCAAGCTTTTCTTTCCCCCTCACTGAAGGAAGGTGGTGGGATTTGCGCAGAGGGTGGTGGGGAATCTGGAACTCACTGCTTGTGTGGGTGGGAGAGGCAGAAACCCCTCATTTCCTTGAGGAAGCGTTGAGATGTGCACTTGCGACGCCAAGGCTGTGGGCCAAGTGTGCTGGGAAATGGGATTAATATAGGTGGGCTGAAGGGCCTTTTTCTGTGCTGCAGACTTCCACAGATGGGCTGAAAGGCCTCATCTTGTACTGTAGCGCTCCATAGATGGGCTAAAAGGCCTCTTCCTGGGCTCTGGACCATCACAGATGGGCTGAAGGGCCTCTTCCTGTGCTGTAGATCTCCACAGACGGGCTGAAAGGCCCTGTCTTACGCTGTAGACCTCCACAAATGGGAGGGGGTTGGAGAGAGGGAGAGATAGAAAGACAGGTAGAGAGAGAGAGAATGAGAGAGAGAGAGGGAGAGAGAGACAGAAAGAGAGAGAGGATGATGGTTGAAATCAGGGCTGGAGGGGAGGAGAACAGAGGGCGGGGGTTCGCAGGTAGTAGACGTGACTGTCTTTCTGTTACCTTTAACCCTACTCCTCCGATACCTCCCTCAGAATGCTCTCTGGAATGAAATCTCCAGCAAGCTTCGAATCCAGTTCAGGGCATCAACACGTGAGGCGAGGGAGTGAGAAAGCGCTTTTCCCGGAATCAGTTCATGTCTAATCCAATGGTTCTTTCTCCTTTCCAGGAGACGCGCCTCTGGAATTTTACACTGATAGGGAATGGATGATGATGGTAGCTTGGCTGATCTCTGGGATCCTCCTTTGCGTACTGGCTACAATAATCTTCATTGTCAAAGACAGGAGACTGACTAGTGTGTACATTCGTGAGTTAATTATTGTAGCATCTTTTTTTTACAGGCGTCAGGGTTATCGGGGGTTTGGGGGGGCTAGCCCTGAATGCCTAAGGACAAATCCTGGTCTGAGATGTTAGACTGGATTTTCCGATGTCCTTCCATCTGATGTTGCGGACTCCAAGGCAATTCTCTAGAAAATTGTGCGTGACATCAAAGAAGTTCATCCACCATACCTTCCACCTCCCACCCTGCAAGTGTATCCTTTCAAATCAGATAATCTGGAGGGTTTCACTGCAGTTAAGTAGATAGTCGCCTGGCGAAATCTCCAGCAAGGGATTGCCACTCCTTGGAAAATTCTTATCTACCAGGCACTCCATTATCCCTGAAATCCGCAGGATGGTGTAAGAAATCCCAGCTGAGCAGGACTTACCACATTCCAATTCCTGTCCTCTTCCTCACTCTGGATACCATGAGCAGCAGTCTAGCTCAATGATAGAATGGATCCGACGAGTTGAATGGCCTGCTCCAGTCCCTGGAATCATTCTTACTTTCTCACCATAAGATATAACATAAGAACATAAGAACTAGGAGCAGGAGTAGGCCATCTGGCCCCTTGAGCCTGCCCCGCCATTTAATAAGATCATGGCTGATCTTTTTGAGACTCAGCTCCACTTACCCGCCCACTCACCATAACCCTTAATTCCTTTACTATTCAAAAATTTATCTAGCCTTGTCTTAAACACATTCAGTGAGGTAGCTTCAACAGCTTCACTGGGCAGGGAATTCCACAGATTCACAACCCTTTGGGTGAAGAAGTTCCTCCTGACCTCAGTCCTACATCTGCTTTCCTTTATTTTGAGGCGATGCCCTCTAGTCCTAGTTTCATCTGCTAGCGGAAACAACCTCCCTGCCTCCACCTTATCTATTCCCTTCATAATCTTATATGTTTCTATAAGATCTCCCCTCATACTTCTGAATTCCAATGGGTACAATCCCAGTATACTCAGTCTCTCCTCATAATCCAACCCTCTCAACTCTGGAATCAACCGAGTGAATCTCCTCTGCACCCCCTCCAGTGCTAGTATATCCCTTCTCAAGTAAGGAGACCAAAACTGCACACAGTACTCCAGGTGTGGCCTCACCAGGACCCTATCCAGCTGCAGCATAGCCTCCCTGTTTTTAAACTCCATCCCTCGAGCAATGACAGACAAAATTCCATTTGTCTTTTTAATCACCTGCTGCACCTGCAATCCTACTTTTAGCGATTCATGCGCAAGGACACCCAAGTCCCTCTGCACAGCAGCGTGCTGCAATTTTTTACCATTTAAAACATAGTCCATTTTGCTGTTATTCCTACCAAAATGGATGACTTCACACTTATCAACATTGTACTCCATCTGCCAGACCTTTGCCCACTCACTTAGACTATCTATATCCCTCTGCAGACTTTCAGTGTCTTCTGCACACTTTGCACTACCACTCACCTTAGTGTCATCTGCAAATTTTGACACACCACACTTAGTCCCCAACTCCAAATCATCTATGTAAATTGTAAACAATTGAGGTCCCAACACTGATCCCTGAGGCACACCACTAGCCACTGACCGCCAACCAGAAAAACACCCATTTACCCCTACTCTTTCCTTTCTACTGGTCAACCAATCCTCTATCCATGCCAATACATTACCTGTAATACCGTGCAACTTTATCTTATGTAGCAGCCTTTGCTGTGGCACCTTGTCAAATGTCTTCTGGAAATCCAGATACACCATATCCACAGGTTCCCCATTGTCCACCATGCAAGTAATGTCCTCCAAGAATTCTATCAAATTAGTTAAACATGACCTACCCTTCATGAACCCATGCTGGGTGTTCCCAATGGGACAATTTATATCCAGATGTCTTGCTATTTCTTCCTTAATGATAGATTCAAGCATTTTCCCCACTACCGAAGTTAAGCTAACTGGCCTATAGTTACCAGCTTTTTGTTTACTTCCTTTTTTAAACAGTGGCGTCACATTGGCTGTTTTCCAATCTGCGGGAACCACCCCAGAGTCCAGTGAATTTAGGTAAATAATTACTAGTGCATTTGCTATTTCCCCCATCACCTCTTTTAGTACCCTGGGATGCATTTCATCAGGGCCAGGAGACTTGTCTACCTTTAGCCCCATTAGCTTGCCCAGCACTGCCTCCTTAGTGATAATGATAGTTTCTAGGTCCTCACCTGCTATAACCTTCTTGCCATTAGTTTTCGGCATGTTATTTGTGTCTTCCACTGTGAAGACCGACACGAAATAACTGTTTAATGTCTCAGCTATTTCCTCATTCACAGTTATTAAATTGGCCTTCTCATCCTCTAAAGGACCAATGTTTACCTTCGCCACTCTTTTACGATTTACATATTTATAGAAACTTTTGCTGCCTGTTTTTATATTCTGAGCTAGTTTACTCTCATAATCTGTCTTATTTTTCTTTATAAGTTTTTTTGTGGCTTTCTGTTGGCCTTTAAAGATTTCCCAGTCTACTAGTTTCCCACTAATCTTTGCATTTTTGTATGTGTTTTTTTTTCAATCTGATGCTTTCCTTTATTTCCTTAGACATCCATGGCTGGCTCTCTCTTTTCCTACAGTTCTTCCTTATCACTGGAATATACTTCTGCTCAGCACTGTGAAAAATCGTTTTGAAAGTCCTCCACTGTTCCTCATTTGACCCACCATAAAGTTTTTGCTCCCATCCTACCTTAGCTAACTCCTTCCTCATTCCTTCATAGTCTCCTTTGTTTATGCACAGGACATAGGTACTGGATTTAACCTTCTCACTCTCCATCTGTATTTTAAATTCGACCATACTGTGATCGCTCCTTCTGAGAGGATCCCTAAGTGTGAGATCATTAATTACATTGCCTCATTACACAGGACTTGATCTAGGATAGCTTGCTCCCTTGTAGGTTCCATTACATATTGTTTAAGGAAATTATCGCGGATGCATTCTATGAGCCCCTCCTCAAGGCTGCCATGACCGATCTGGTTTGACCAATCGATATGTAGATTAAAATCCCCCACGATAATTGCTGTACCATTTTTACATGCATTAGCTATTTCTATGTTTATTGCCCGCCCCACCACCATGTCATTATTTGGTGGCCTATAGACCACACCTATCAGTGACTTCTTCTCCCTGCTATTCCTAATTTCCACCCAAATGGATTCAATGTTTTGTTCAGTAGAACCTATATCATCTCTCACTACCGCCCTGATATCATCCTTAAAAATCAGAGCAACACCACCTCCGTTATCTTCCTGTCTGTCCTTCCGAACAGTTTGATACCCCTGGATATTTAACTGCCAGTCATGACCATCCTGTAACCATGTCTCTGTAATGGCCACTAAATCATACCCATTTGCCATGATTTGCACCGTCAACTCATCCACCTTGTTTCGAATGCTTCGAGCATTCAGATAAAGTGCCCTTATGCCAGTTTTTGCACCTTCTTTTTGGGTCCTATCACCTCTATTACTAACAGCTCTTGAGTTCTCCTCCCTTTAAATTTTTCCTAATTTTCAATGGAGTTGAAGCTTCCTCATCACCTGCTAACCTGCGGCTCTGCCTTACATTAATTGTTATTCTCCCTCTACGCTCACTTCTCCCTTCCCCCCTACTTACTAGTTTAAAGTCCTATTAACCACCCTATTTACCCTTTTTGCCAGAACACTGGACCCGGCCCTGTTCAGGTGGAGTCCATCCCAGCGACATACGTCCCTCCTGTCCCAGAACTGATGCCAGTGCCCCATGAAAAGGAAACCCTCTTTCCCACACCACTCTTTTAGCCACGTGTTTACTTCCCTGATCCTCGCCTCCCTATGCCAATTTGCACGTGGCTCGGGCAGCAATCCAGAGATGATGACCCTTGAAGACCTGTTTTTTAATTTTGTTCCTAGCTTTTCATAATCCCGAAACAGGTCTTTTTTCCTAGTCCTGCCTATGTCGTTGGTACCTACGAGGACCACAACAACTGGATCCTCCCCCTCCCTCTCTAGTATCCTCTCAAGCCGGTCAGAGATATCTCGCACCCTGGCACTGGGCAGGCAACACACCATGCGGAATTCTCTATCCTGCTCACAAAGGGTACTGTCTATCCCCCTGATGATGGAATCCCCTACAACTGCAATCTGTCTTTTTGGTCCCCCCTCTTGAATGGCCTCCTGGACCATGGTACCATGATCAGTTGACTCATCCTTCCTGCAGCCCTGTTCCTCATCCACGCAGGGAGCAAGTGCCTCATACCTGTGGGACAATGTCAAGGGCTGCGGATCCTGTGTTCCTGTCTGCAGGGTCCCTCTACCTGCCTCACTCGCAGTCACACACTGCTGTCCCTGCCCGCCGATCGAATTAACATTAGTTAATCTACCAGGTGTGACTGCCTCCTGGAACACAGCATCCAGGTATTTCTCCCCCTTCCAGATGTGCCGCAGTGTTTGGAGTTCGGATTCCAGCTCATCAATTTTGAGCCGGAGCTCCTCAAACAGCCAACACTTGCTGCAGATGTGGTCTCTGCCGTTCTCAATGGGATCAGCTAGCTCCCACATCATACAGCTACAACACATCACCTGGCCTGCCATCTCTACTTAGTTAATTATTTAAAATTAATTAGTTTTTTTTTAGTTTCGCAGTGTTCGCTGCACCAGTAAGTTTACTCCGTTATATACTCAAACAGACTCTGGCTTTGCCTTCCGACCCGCTCCCAGAGGATTTGGTGTCTAGGTGACCACCCCAAAAGATAACAAAGAGATGAGGAAAATAAATGCAAATAGCTTACCTGCTCACCACACTTAGTTGTTATTATTAGGTCAGAGGAGGTGGAAGGATGGGAGACACTACGTGTGTAGTGTCTCGGGTTAACTCCCAAATTTATTGGGTGGAAGCTTACCTTCCCAGGCTGCCCTCGCGCTTTCTCTCGGACTCCCGCTGCTGAAACAATGCAGTTTGACCAGACCCTTATACAGCCTCAGCAGTACATCCCTACTCTAGCCCTCTCAAAATGAATGCTAAATTCCATTTGCCTTCCTAACTGCCAACTGAACCTGCATGTTAACTTTTAGAGAATCCTGAACTAAGAGTCTAAAGTCCCTTTGTGCTTCAGATTTCCAAAGCCTTGCTGTTGAGAAACTAGTCTGTGCCTCCATTTATCCAGTCAAAGTTTCATAGAATGCCTGCACTGCAGAAAAAGGCCACTTGACCCATTAAGTCTGCACTGACCCTCCAAGGAGCATCCCACCCTACCACCCTATCCTGCCTTTAGCATAGTTAACCTAACATGTCTGCACATCCCAGGTCACAATGGGGCATTTTAGCTCATGGCCAACCCCACCTCACCTCACCTGCGCATCTTTGGACTGTGAAAGGAAACCCACACAGACACAGGGAGATTGTGCAAACTCCACACAGACGGTCACCCGAGGCTGGGATTGAACCTGTGTCCCTGGTGCTGTGAGGCAGCAGTGCTAGCCACTGAGCCACCATGTTCTGCTTTCCTAACTCCTTAGCCCCCAGGCTCTGCATTGACTAAGGGACAGTTCAGGATCTGATCGAAGGGCGTGGGACTCTTGTATTACTAAGAGACAGATGAGCCGACTCCAAAAGTCTGTTTCTCCTCCTCCCATTGGCCTTGTCTTCTCTCCTAACGTTGAGGAATCTCTTGCAGGATCGGGATCAGAATCACAGGAAGCTGGGGGAACAGATGAGCCCTGTGATCTACCGTCGGAGCATGAGAAAGTTGCTGGAGAATCTCAACAAAGTCTGGGGAGAGAGGCTTTCAAAAGCGTGATGATGAAAGTTCAGAATAACTATGTTCCTGTTAGAGTGAGGCAGGTAAGATTAAGGAACAATGGATGAATGAAGATATTGATGTTCTAGTCAAGAATAAAAGGGAATCTTATATTAGAGATAGACAGCTGAGTACAAATGAATCCCTTGAACAATCACATATAGACAGGGTGGTTAAAAAGGTGTTTGGTACACTTGCCTTCATTGCTCAGTCCTTTAAGTTGGGATGTTATATTGAACTTGTACAGGATACTGGTGAGGCCTCTTCTGGAATACTGTGTCCAGTTCTGGTCACCCTGTCATAGGAAGAATATTATTAAGCTGGAGTGAGTTCAGAAGAGATTTACCAGGATGTTGCCGGGAATGGAAGGTTTGAGTTATAAAGAAAGGCTGGATCGGCTGGGACTTTTTTCACTGGAGCGTAGAGGTTGAGTGGTGACCTTATAGAGGTTTGTAAAATAATGAGAGATATAGATAAGACAAATAGCAGATGTCTTTTCCCTACAGTGGGGGATTTCAAGACTGGAGGCATATTTTTAAGGTGAGAGGAGAAAGATTTATAAAGACATGAGAGGAATTTTTTTCACACAGAGAGCAGTTCATGTGTGAAATGAACTCCCTGAGAAAGTGGTGGATATGGGTATAGTTACAACGTTTAGAAGACATTTGGATAAGTACATGAATAGGAAAGCTTTGGAGGTATATGGACCAGGAGTAGGTAGCTGGGACTAGTTTAGTTTGGGGTTATGGTTGGCATTGACTGGTTGGACTGAAGGGTCTCTTTCCATGCTGAAGGATGGAAGAAGAGGGGTTATGAGATAGTATTGGCAGATAAGATTAAGGATAATCCAAAGAGATTCTTTGGATTGGAGAGATATTAAGTGAATATACCGAAACAGTTTTTATTTTGGAGAAAGAAATAGAGGCTACAGAACTCAGGAAAATAAATATTGATGTTTTGGAAGCAGTTCACATTACAGGAGAGAGACAGAGAGAGAAAGAGAGAGAGAGAGACAGTTTGATGTCAAATGTGCAGGGGGTGATTGTGTTCCATACATAGATTCACAGACCCATAAAGCATGGAACCAGATCTTTCGGTCCAACCTGTTCATGCCGACCGCATATTCCAAATTAACCTAGTCCAGTCCATATCCCTGTAAACACTTCCTATACATGTACTCCTCCAGATGCCTTAAAAATGTTATAATTGTACCAGCCTCCACCACTTCCTCTGGCAGCTCATTCCATACACACACCACCCTCTGTGTGATAAAGTTGCCCCTTAGGTCTCTTTTAAATATTTCCCTTCCATTTACCTTAAAACTATGCCCTCTAGTTTTGGACTCCTGTACCCTGGAGAAAAGACCTTGGCTATTCAACCTATCTATTTCCCTCATGGTTCTATACACCTCTATAAGGTCACCCCTCAGCCTCCGACAATCTAGGGAAAATAGCCCCAGCCTACTTAGCCTCTCCCTATAGGTCAAACCCTCCGACCCTGGCAACAGCCTTGGAGATCTTTTCTGAACCCTCTCAACATCCTTCCTATAGCAGGGAGACTGGAATTGAACAGTATTCTGAAAGTGGCCTGACCAATGTCGTGTATGTCCACAACATGACCTCCCAACTCCTATACTCAGTGCACCGACCAATAAAGGCAAGCGTACCAAATGCCTTCTTCACTATCCTATCTACCTGGGACTTCATTTTCAGGGAACAATGAACCTACCCTCTAAGATCTCTCTGTTCAGCAACATTTAAGACATGGGATTTCCCTCTCCCCTCTTAGGGGCCTGTCCATTTTCTAATCTTATTTTCTTAATCAACCCAAGATCCCAATTTTCCCAGTTTGGTTCTGTGTCTCTACTTGATGCATCTGTTATTCCAAGTAAATATATTCTGGTAAATCCTCCCATTCTGTTTGGAGGGTGGGGCAATAAATTGTAGGGGGGGAATGTGGGGGCCAATTGTAACAGTTTCAAATTCCTTATTAGAAACAGAAGTAGGCCATTCAGCTCCTCGAGCTGGTTAGCCAAATATTCCGGATAATCAAAGGGGACGTATAAACGCTGTCAATCCTGACCAAATGAGATTTTGAGGCATCAACAAGGCTCAAAAAATCAACGTAAAAGCATTGACAAACTTCCTAAAAGCGATCTAAATACAAATAGCAAGTGAAAGAATCGTAGTGCATGGTGTACACGCAAATGTAACATTTTATTCGCAGTATGATCAGACGTCGCTGTAGCTAGTTTACCTAGAGTGCCGGTTGATCAAAAGTGCCGGTTAAATGGAAGTTTGCTGTCCCTATACATCTGCATTCCCCAGGCTAACAGAGAAGTGATCTCGTCGAGCCTTACACAATTCTCACAGGGTGTGCACGATGTAGACAGGGACAATTCCCCTGAATGGCAAAGATAGAATGAGACAGTGCAACCTCAGAATAACAGGCAAGGCCTCCAGGACGGAGATGAGGAGGGATTCCTTGAATCAGAGGGTGTTACATCTTTGCAATTTATTGTTACTTTCTACTTTACCAGCTCCTTATCTCTCAAGCTCTGTGCTGACTGAGGGACGATTTAGAAGCTTATCGAGCAGTGAGGGTTTTATCAAGAGGCAGATAAGCCAGTTCCAAATGGCTATTCCCCCTCCTCCTGTCGGCCTTGACTTCTCGCTACATGTTCATGAGTCTCTTGCAAAATCAGGATCAGAACTGCAGAAAGCATGAGGAGGAGAGAGGCACATCCCTCAATCATTGAGTAGGTTCCAGACCAAAATCAGGAGGGTTCTGAAAGTCAATTATATTAAAGGATTCAGAGACAATAGAGGAAAATTGTTTTTTTTCCTGTTTACTCATGGGATGTGGGCATTTTTGGCTGGGCCAGTATTTTTGACTGTCCCTAACTGCCCCTGGAGAAGGTGGTGGTGAGCCACCTTAGGGTCATACAGCACGGAAACAGACCGAAAGGACTGCGGTTGCTGTTAATCAGAAACAAAAAAAGAAATTCCTGGAAAAGCTCAGCAGGTCTGGCAGCACCAATGGAGAGAAATCAGAGTTAATGTGTCAGGTCAAGTGACCCTTCCTCAGAAACAGACCCTTCGGTCCAACTTGTCCATGCTGACCAGGTTTCCCAAACTAAACTAGCCTGCATTTGGCCCATAACCCTCCCAACCTTTTCTATCCATGTACCTATCCAAGTTTCTTTTAAATGTTGTAATCATACCTGCCTCCACCACTTCCTGTGGCAGCTCATTCCACATACGAACCACCCTCTGTGTGAAAATGTTTCCCCTCAGGTCCTTCGTAAATCTTTTTCCTCTCACCTTAAAAATTTTTATGCTCCCTAGTTTTGAACTCTTCCATCCTAGGGAAAAGACCCTTGCCATTCACCTTATTTATACCCCTCATGATTATATAAACCTCTATAAAGACACTCCTCAACCTCCTACACTCTAGTGTAAAAATATCCCAGCTATCCAGATAACTCAAACCCTCCAGTCCTGGCAACATTCTTTTCTGAACCCTCTCAAACTTAATTATATCCTCCTATAGCAGCATGACCAGAACTGGACACAGTATTCCAGAAAAGGCCTCACCAATAGCCTGTACAACATCACGTCCCAACTGCTATACTCAAAGGTCTGAGCAATGACATCTTAAATGCCTTCTTAACCACCCTGTCTACATGTGACGCAACTTTCAAAAAACTATGTAACTGAACCTCTAGGTCTCTCTGTTTGATGAATTGCTGATGTCCGTGTGCTGTAGGGACACCCACATAGTGCCGTTAGGGAGGGAGCTCCAGGATTTTGACTCGGCAATACTGAAGGAACAGCTGCCATATTTCCAAATCAGGATGGTGAGGGGAACTTGCAGGGGGTGGTGTTCCCATGTATCTGCTGCCCTTATCCTTCAAGTGGTTGTGGGTTTGGAAGGTGCTATCTGAGGATCTTTGGTGAATTTCTGCAGTGCATCTTGTAGATGATGCACACTGCTGCTACTGAGCGTCGGAAGTGGAGGGAGCGGATGTTTGTGGAAGTGGTGCCAAGTCAAGCGGGGGCTACTTTGTTCTGGATGGTGTTAAGCTTCTTTAGTGTTGTTGGAGTTGTACTCATCCAGGCAAAGCAGGGACTATTCCCTCACACTCCTGACTTGTGCCTTGTCAATGGTGGATCATTGAGGAACCATGATGTAGAATAGCAAGGCAAGATCAATGGGCTGACTGGCCTCTGAATTAAAATGAACCCTCAGTCGAGCAATGATGTGCAACTGACTTTAACATCTGCATGACCTTCCCAGCTCTCCGAGGTGTCTCAGGACCAGGTCGATGAGGCGGGGGTGTCTGACACGGTTTTGTACAGTGTAATCACAGTGCTGGGGATGACATCGACAATGTTTCAAACCCCATCTGAGGATGGGGAGGTCTACTCGCAAATCACCGGTGGAACATTGGATTGCGACCAACACTTACATAGCCACCCATCTTTCACCCCAACGTGTGCATCCTTGGAAACGAGAAGCTAATGGAACACCATCTTCTCATCTGAAAGCTGTGGATAAAGGCGAGTTATGTTCCTGACCTGACATCTGAAATTTATGGGTGGCATGGTGGCTCAGTGGTTAGCAGTGCTGCCTCACAGTGCCATGGATCCAGGTTCAGTTCCAGCCTCGGGTGACTGTCTGTGTGGAGTTTGCATATTCTCTCCATGTCTGCATGGGTTTCCTCCGGGTGCTCTGGTTTCCTCCCACAGTTCAAAGATGTGCAGGTTAGGTGGATTGGCCATGCTAAATTGCCCTGTAGTATCCAGGGATGTGAAAGTTAGGTGGCTTAGCCATGGGATAGGGTAGGAGTGTGGGTCTGGATGCCACGATCTTCGGATGGCTAGTGTGGACTTGATGGGTCAAATGGCCTGATTCCACTCTTTAGAGATTATTTGATAAGTCCGTCCAATATTTCATCCTCCTTCCCTTGCTCTTGCTGCCCCTTGTCATCAAGAGGCCAAATGGCCTATCTTTGTCAGGTGTTCTAATAGGTGTAGGCAGA